GCGATAGTTAGAGCAGTCCATCGCGTCGCCCTTCTGTTTGAAGATGGGGACGATAGTACTTGTCCTCCATGCATCCGGCATCTTCCTTCCACTGTTACCTTGTTCAGGAAGCTGGTGAGCCACCTTATGCCGTACTCTCCGAGCGCCTTCCATGCCTCGATTGGCACCCCATCTGGACCAACCGCCTTTCCAACCTTCATCCTCCCAAGTGCACACCTAACCTCATCCTCAGTCCAGAGTGCGATGGGACCAGCTGTGGCCTCTGCCCGTGAGTTGTTCTTGTGGGGGAACTCCTCGTTCAGAAGCCCTGAAGTACTCTTCCCACCTCCTCTTGACTTCGGCTGGCTTCCTTAGGATGACACCATTGCTGCTTTTACACTCTTCACCACCCTGATGTCTTGAGTAGCCGATGCCGGGCCTTAGCCAGCCTGAAGACGAACTTCTCTGCGTTTCTGCTTTCCAACTTCTCGTACAAGGCGTCCATCTCCGTGTTCTTCGCCTTGGCGACGCAGCCTTAGCGAGCCTCTTGCAACTCTTGTAGGTAGCGAGGTCTTCGGGGCTCCGGGTCTTCTGCCAGCGCTTGTATGCTTCCTTCTTCTGCTTCACGACTCGCTGGACCTCCTCGTTCCAGAACCACGCTGCCTTGTCTCCTCTGAATCCACCTCGCGTCTCGCCCAGTACCTCCTTGGCACATCGCAGGATGGTCTCAGCCGCGTTGCCCAAGTCCGCTGTACTGGCCCGTTAGGATCTGGGAGACCGAACTTCCATTATCCTTCGCCTTGAGGTCATCCTTCTCCGCTTGGTGCAACTTCCACCACCGGATTCTCCTCTCGGTTCTTACCCTTGTCTTCTTGGGGAGGTCTATGGCAATGTCTGCCAGGAGGGGCCTGTGCTGGGGAGCCAGTCTTCGCCGGGTAGTACCTTGATATCCTTCACAGTTTTGAGGGATGATCTTCTTACCAGCACATGGTCGATTTCCGTCTGTCTCCCTCCACTGCTGTAGGTTACCTTTTGAGATCCCCTTTTCGCGAAGAA